AGAAGCACCAGAGTCGAGAGTGAAGGACAGCGACGCAGTGGCGGGGGCCGGGGACGGAGCCGGTGCAGCGACTAGACTAGGCAACCTAGGCAGTCCTACGCCTGTCGCAGCAGGGGAAGCTAAGCTACACAAGGGTGAAACACCTAAACTAGAGTACACAGGGTAGTAAGATCCATCAACACTAGAAGCGTCAGCATACAAAGCATGCAAAGCAGCACCTATCTGATCCATGTCTAACTCAAAGATCGGCACGCCCTGGCGGAGCAGGCTGTGCCAGTCAGGGAGGTCCGGGGCCGGGCCAAAGCGACGACGAAAAAGATCGTCAAGGCGGCGGAAACAGCGGGCGGTCGGGTGCGGGCGGCGGCACAGAGTGCCGCGGAGAGGCCCGGTCTGAAGCTGGTACTGGCAGGTCACAGCACTGGAGCCGCTGGTAGACGCCAAGCTGCGCGGGCCGCCACCACGGCCACCGCCTCCGGAGGTGCCGGGCCAACCAGGCGGGAGACGAGCCCACGGCTGCGGCGGGTGCTGCTGGGACGGCGGCTGCGGCTGGGGCTGGTCCTGCTGCTGCTGGGACTGCTGCTCCTGCCCACCGATGGTAGTCCCCTCAGGCGGACTACCGTCACCACCACCACGACCACTACCACCTGCGTCACCACCCCTACCTCCCTGGCGGCCACGGCCACCGCGACGCGAGCGCTGCTGCGGGTGGACAGCAGCAGCCGTCTCGGTAAGAGGGGTCGCCGTGGCGACCGCAGCCGAAACGTCAGTGAACGTGCACGGGGATGGGGCACAGCCGTGAAAGATAGAGACTGGCGGCGCACCGCTCGACTGAGCGATAGTGCGCTGGCGAGTCTCGATCTCAGTGAGGGTGTCGACAAAGGCGGTCAGGGTGAGGTCACCCGGGTGCTGGCTAAGAAAGTGGTCGCGAGCACTAGCGAGGCGGTCTGGCAGGCGCATAGCGATAAAATAGAGCGTCATGCAGAAAGGAGGGGGGAGCGCAGTGAGCTGGGCAGCAGTGCTGGCAGTGCGATAGCGAGTCTCTAGGGCACGCAAATGAGTGGCAAAATCTGCGACAGTAGGGAAGGCAGCCAGGTCTGGGAACAGCATCGGAAAGAGCAAGCGGCCAGCAGAAGCGGAGGCAGGGGTGGAATAGCGAGCAATAACGGCGTCTAAATAAGCTTTGGCCGTTTCAACAGTAGCAAAACGCGAGCGCTCAGACACAGGGAGGGCGTGACTAATAGCAACCTGAGCTACTGCATCGCGTGAGTCCCAGATCGCACAGGCCAGCGCAGCAGTAGAGAAAGCCTCACGGTCATCAGAGGAGGGGTCAGCAGGGAGGGGAGTAGGTGCAGGGGGACGGGGGAGCAAGCCATCAGCATGGACAACCAGAGAGTGGCCATCCTGGCGCTGACCTGTAAGCTGGCGGCGAAGATCGGAGAGCCAGGCGGCGAAGTCAACCGCGTGGCCCTCAGCGTCCAGGCGGAGCACAAAGTCAGCCATCGTGCAGGGTCAGCGGCACAGCTCCTCAGCGACACAGCGGCACAGCAGCACAGCTCCTCAGCGGCACAGGAGCACAGCGGCGCGGGGACACGGCGGCAGCACTCTCCAGTAGGGCAGCAGCTAGGCGTCCCAGCGCAGGCAAGCAGAAGACACAGGGCCCGAGAGGACACGGCAGGCCGAGCAGGGGAGGCGGGCAGGTGCTCTGGGGCCGGGCTGGTGCTGGGATGGGCCAGGCTGGTGCTGCTGGGGCCGGTCGGGCACGAGGAGGGGCCGGGCAGCGCTGAGGAGAGGCCGGGCGGCGCTAGGAAGGGGCCGGGCGGCACTAGGAGGAGGCCGGGCGGCACTAGGAGGAGGCCGAGCGGCACTAGGAGGAGGCCAGGCGGGCGAGCGCTAACAGCAGGCGCGACAGGGGCCAGCGGGCGCGACGGGGCCTAAGGGGCGCGACGGGGCCCAGCGGGCACGACGGGGCCCAGGGGGGGCGCGACGGGGCCGAGGAGGCGCGACGGGGACCAGCGGGCACGACGGGGCCCAGGGGGGCCGCGACGGGGCCTAACGGGCGCGACGGGGCCCAGGGGGGGCGCGACGGGGCCTAGCAGGCGCGACGGGGCCTAGGAAGCGCGAAGGGGCCCAGCGGGCGCGACGGGGCCTAGGAGGGGCGCGACGGGGCCGAACGGGCGCGACGGGGCCCAGAGGGGGGGGACGCGACGGGGCTTAGGAGGCGCGACGATGCCTAGGAGGCACGACGGGGCTCAGCGGGCTCGACGGGGCCCATGGGGGGCGCGACGGGGCCTAGGAGGCGCAACGGGGCCCAGCGGGGGCGCGTTAGGGCCTAGGGGTCGCGACGGGACCCAGCGGGCGCGACGGGGCCTAGGGGGAGCGCGACGGGGCCTAGGAGGCGCGACGGGGCCCAGCGGGCACGACGGGGCCCAGGGGGGGCGCGACGGGGCCTAACGAGCGCGACGGGGCCCAGGGGGGGCGCGACGGGGCCTAGGGGGCGCGACGGGGCCTAGGAGGCGCGACGGGCGGAAGCGGTAGGCGGGGGGATCCTAACCTAAGCGTGATACCATGTTAACGTAGAAACGAATGATTACTAGAGGTGGAAACCTAGAACAAATACTAGTTGGTTGTACTCACTAGAAGCATACCTCAGTCTAGCCTATAACTTCTACATAGATAATATGTATAAGTTGACACTATGTACTACCCTGTGGGATTTTCAATAGCGGGTATACCCCCAGATTATTGCTGTACTGTACTCCTTGACGACAGATGTTAGGGATATCAGACAAAATCCGCCAGACACTGACAAAAATGCCTACTAGTCCCCTGCAGGCCTGACGCTTAAAAAAAACCCCCCCTGAGCTGTCGACTAAAAAAAAAAATTTACCCTGAGGGCTCAGTATTCAAAATTTGCCTACCCTAATTTGTAAGTGTTCAGAAATCAAGAACCCTGAAAATCCCAGGGTTCACCGAACGCATTCAGGGTTGCCTTCAACACGAAGGGGGAATACAAAATGGGGGGAAAAAGGGGAGGGAATCAAACCGAGGGGAGGGGAAGAGCGAAACGGAGGGGAAGGGGGAGGATGGAAACATAGGGGAAGAGAGGAAGCGAAACGGGGAGGGAAAAAGTGGGGGGGGGGGAGGGGGGTGGTTTCGAAATACAGTAGAGAGGAATGGGAGAAGCGAAATGGAGGGGAAGGGGGAATCGAAACAGAGGGGAGAGGGGAAGCGAAACGGAGGGAGAGGTGGGGATCGAGGCGAATGGGGCAGTGGCAGAAACCTCCCGCGCTTGCAACGACATGGGCAAATCGAGGACGTTAATCATACGCGATCATCTAACGGCTGAAATTTGTCGAAACGATCGCGATTGATCGTGGCCGTCAAAGTTTGATGGACTTTCAGTTGACCACACGGGCAATAAAAAAACTTTCCTTAAGAAGGGAGCATTGTCGCTAGTACCCTTTAAATTTAAGGTTAGGTACATTGCCAGCTGCGAAACCTACAGTACCTTCTATGACTTGACCATTAGCCTTGTTTATGGGTTGTGGGAGTGTGGGAGGGGGGATAGCTTGTGTACAATAGGACTAAGCCGTTTTTTTTTTTGTGCTGTCACTGCCTATCAAGACTTAGCTAATTTTTATGGGTTGTTGTTAGGTGTGTAGGGGGGATGTCTGTACGACACATGACTTAGCCGATTTTTGTGGGTTGCTTGGTGTGTGAGGGAATGCTTGAGGACTTCACCAATTTTTGTAGGTTGTTGTGTGTGGGGGGGAATGTCTCTGGAGATTGGGGACTTCGCCTAAATTTCCGCATTGTGAGCCACATGGATGTCGCACTCATGGTTCGTACGCGTTACTCCCTGAAAACTCAGTTTTGGGATAACGCAAACCCTGAAATTCTAAGTGTTCACAGACATACAACCCTGAAGAGGTTAGGGTTCAAAAAAGCCCAACCCTGAAAATTAAGGGTTGGCAAAAAAAATACCCTGTGAAATCAGGGAATCAGGGTAAAATACCCTGATAACGACAGGCCTGGTCCCCTGGCCGAACCCAGGAATTTCGGCTAAGTCCCCACAACCAGAGACATTCCTACCAAGCACCCCCTGCAACTTATTCGGCGAAGTCCCTCACAGCCAGAAGCATTTCTCTCAAGCACCCTATCGTATCCTAAAAATTCAGCTAAGTCCCCCACAACAAGAGACATTCCTTCCTGCAGCTATGTTCCCCCAAGAACCTCATGCAACCCAAAAGTTTTGCGCACTCCTCCACAGCCCCGCACACTACAATCGGCGCGCTTTGCTGAACCTCAGGTGATGGCGAGACACATCACCTCAGGTGCCTTGATGTGCGTGCGAGCGTGAGGAGAACCACACGTGATGCGAGTGAACCTGAATTTTGTCGCGGAAGAAAATCAGAAGGGCCTAGCAAGGACCATCGGTCCCTGACTCGGATTCCTGCCCGGTATCACGCATACCCCCTGCCTGGGAATGTACACATCATTTGCCGCCTGCGCCCTCTGGATGCGTCCCTAGACCTGGCCCTCATTGCCTCGCCAAAGGGCATGGTGCTTGGTTCCGGTTCTCGGCTAAAACCAGAACTTGGGCATGATACATAGTTCGCAACACATTCGATAGGGCTTCGTGAATGTCCTTCAGGGCAAAAGCTTCGCGAATTTTGGTACTAGTTCCGGATTTTCAAGAACCGGAAATGCAAGCACCACGCCCTTAGAGCGTAACACAAGTGCCTTTGGTTTGGTCGCCCGGGGCCGATGTAAGACACTTCCACGAGTGATGTGACTGTGGTGGCTGCTTGTACAAAAGCGGGCATGACCTGTGCACTTTTGTTAATAAAAAATGGCTCTATGAATTATCCCTTATGATGAGAGTTATTATTTTGGAAACAGGGAAAAACCCTGAAAACCCAGAGTTAGTGCTCCAGGTAACCCTGAAAATCAGAGTGGCACAGATTTTACTCGTAAAAATCAGAGTAGTGAAAAACCAAAGATCAGCACTGGTCTGAAGCTTACTCTGCACTACCAGTCTCGCTATCCTTGGTCTGGTCTCCACTGAGTTCCTCAAAGTCATCCTCCTCCATCTCGTCACAACGCCTCTCCTCCTGCTCCTCCGGCCCCTCCTCCTCCTCCTCCTCTTCCTCCTCCTCCTCCTCCTCCTCCTCCTCCTCCTCCTCCTCCTCCTCCTCCTCCTCCTCCTCCTCCTCCTCCTCCTCCTCCTCCTCCTCCTCCTCCTCCTCCTCCTCATCCTCCTCCACCTCCACCACCACCCTCCTCTGCTTGACACTTTTTACGCGGCTGTGGGGGCGGAACTGTGCAGAAAACGGCTTCCGCTTCCTCCCCCGCCACACCTTCACCACGGCCTCCCAGTCTGGCTAGTAGTCCATGAGCGCCATGCTCATTAGGTCGTCAAGGGCTTCGTTCGTCAGGTTCCCCCGGTTCCAGGTCTTGATGGCGTTCTGCCGGCTGAACCCTCTCACATTCTACAGTGCTGAGCAGCAGCACCGCCACGACCACCCACAGTCGCCCCAGGACCGGTAGCCACTCAGCCAGTCTTCAGTCTTGAGCATCGCCTGCAGTCCTTCATGAAACTTCCGCTTCCCAGTTGGCGCCTCCTTTAACAATGTGACCAAGGTGTTGAGTTCCCTGAGTGTTGCGCGCTTGTTGACACCTGCATGGAGCAACGTTTGGCGAAAGGGCAATGGACGAGTGATGCAAGAGACAAGGCACGACTAGGATGATGGCATGACAGGGGACAATGCACGGCAGGGGACAAGCGAAGGTTGGGAGCATGATGGGCAGAGCGATGACACGTAGACAGCCAAGCAGATGCACAAAAAGGTGGGCAAATGAGACAATGGCTGACCTGGCAGCACCTCTCTTCTGCCAGCCGCATGGAAGAGGTCGAAAAGTGACTGCAAGTGCTCGTTGTACCGGGCGTCCCTCTGCTTCTTACCAGGCGGCCAGGCCTCCGGGGTGAAGATTCGGGCGCCAGACAACTTCCCCAAATCGCTGAAGAAATCGTTGATGTGGTTGCCGTTGCCTGTGCGAACCGCATGCATACGGTGCTGCAGTCGTCATGATCTTCACCTGGAATTTCATCGTGCATATCGAACTTGTGAGTCACTGCCTCGCCGTTGGATTTCCAGCCCTCAACTGTGACATGGGGGGAAGGTGGAGTTTCAGGCTAGCAGTGTTCTGAGCCACTGTGACATGCCATGTGCGGTTGGCATCAATGAGGGGTAGTGGGGGGAATGCACTCACGTGTTCGACTGTCTGGCCCCAACTTCGCCCGCTGTTGGCCGAAAAAGCGTGATTTTGGTTAAGGACCAATCACGCTTCTCACTCACTTTCCAGCATACTATGGTCGGCTAAGATATGGTCAAGGACCCATAATATCCCTCACGCCTGCTCCAGCGAGACTAGAATCATGGGCAAAAATTGCCCAATCAGGGGTCGAGCCCCATAGACACCAGAATTTGGGGGGGGGGGGGGGGTGCTTTAGGCCGGTTACCGGTAAAGGCTAACTCGTTAGGCTAGCTAAAGCAACAACATACGAAAATTCAGGCCTACGAAAGAATCAACCCCTAAAAGTTAGGATAGAAAAATATTGAAGTATGAAAAATCAGGCTATGCCTAAAACAACACCCTGATACCGTAATCCCCCTGATAGAAGATTCCCCCTAGGTTAGGAACCTGAGTCCTTTAATCGACCAAAGGGCTTATACGCAAAATTTGATTATAGTCTCCTCCCCCTTTGGAGAGTAATTCGTTTTTTTAAGCCAGTGTTATTTTGTACACAAAAAAAAAAAGTTTTCTAACAGTGGATCACACTGCCTTTGCCGAGTACGATTCCACTGCTTTCGTGCGCACACGTGCGATCTAGCTCTCTGATAACTCAGACTAAGTTTCGTGGCACTGCGCAAACAAGCCAATGGCGAGCACACGTTACCATTGAATTCGCTGACTCCAGCACACACAGAAGCAGCTTTCCCATAGGATGATCGGTCAACAAGCTTGGCAATATCTTCGATCAAGCTCAGAATTCACACACGTCAGTGATTTCGATTGAGACCAGGAAACGAACAGAATTGTGCACCTAAATTTTGTTTTCTTTAAATTATAACAAACTATGCATGAGTTAGATCTTGGGCCTTATATTAAAGCCCAAGACTAAAATAGCAAACATGGGACCAGCTTGAAAGGTGCTTGGGTTGTTTTTTTAACTAAGGGATTTAGAAGTGGAAAGTTGGGCTACACAAGCTGTTCCAACTTGTTGGGGCAGCGTAGCTCGACAACTCAAACTGCCATATGATTGGTTCCCGCCAACCCAACTGACACTCAAGCACACCGCAAACGTTGTCAGACTAGGTCGTTGTAGGAAATATCTCAAAGGACTTAAGCGTTTCTGAAGTGTAACACTACACTCGAGGAAGATCACAACGGGTACGCGAGTCAACGGAGGTTACACGAGGGGGCGGACAAAGAACGCGAAGGGACTCGAAAGGTCGCAACTGGAGGTTGCGACTGACCGTTACAACAGCGCGGATGGTAACCGAAGCGACAATCGAGTCGCTGTGCGACTCGATAACCGCTCCTGCAACTGTATTCTACAACTGCTTTCTTATTTTCTATATATTGCAGTATGCTTGTTTCTTTAGTTAAGCACTTGTTCTCATATACTAGTACAAGGGTTCAAACTACTCAACTTCCGCTGCACTACTCAAGTCTCATTCTTCAACTGGGACTTAGTCTCTGGAAAGATCCTAAGGGCTTTTCTCAGCCCAACATGGTATGAGAGCTGGTCAGAGACCAAACTCCCAGCAACTACGCTCTATCTACAATCTGGAATTCAACGACTTCATTGATTACAAGTCATGGACAGCAAGGGCAAGAAAATCTCTACGTGCTCACCAAGCACCCAAGACACTCAACCTGGCAACTCTGGATTGCACACTTCAGGACTGCAAAGCGAGACCGGCGCTGCTCAAGAAACAACAGGAAGAGCACCGGAAATGGTGACCCCATCACCCTCTTCAAGCGTGGATCCGAACCTTATGGAAAGGTTCTTCAGCTTCATGTCGCACTTCGACCAGCAGCAGCAGACAAGGACACCTGCGCATTCAACACAGAGCAACGGAGGAAACATGGGATTAGCACCGATGAGCCTCGACAATTCATCATTCGGGCGACACAATCAAGCGCCTACCTTTGCGCCTTATCACTCTTCACCGGGGACATTCGAGTTCATGCCGCCCCGTGCCCAACCAACAGCAGCTGCATCACAACAGACACCAAACGAGATTTTGAGTCTCCAGGCGCAGTTTTCACACGTAATCAAGTTACAGACATCCTCACCGTTCAACGGACACGACTTATTTACATGGAGCTTTGAGTTCGAGCTGCTGATGGAGGCTGCGCATCTCTTGGGATACTTCAACGGGTCCCTGCCATTTCCAAGCAACGGCACAGGAAAGGAGCAAGAAATTTTCACGTATCAGTCGCTGCTGGCGTATACAGTTCTCCTGCGGAACCTGTCACCTCAAGAACAGTAGAGCATCAGAATGTATCGGAGCTACGGAAACTCCGCGGAACTCGCATGGCATCATCTCAAGTGTCTCTATCAAGCAAATGACAGCGTGACACAAAGCAGACTCATGCTACAACTGACAACAATACAGATGAAGACCGGGGAAAAGGCGATGCAGTATATGAGTCGATGCCAGACCCTCCGCGACCGCCTGCTTCGGTGCGGAGGAACAATCACAGAAGAAAGCTTCGTGACACTTGTCCTCGCCGGGCTCGGGCCAGAATGGAGAACCACACGCTCGCTTCTTCGCGCCCACGGAAGGATCTCGGAGATGCACCTCTGCGCCGAGCTTCATGCTGAACAACAGGAGATGGACCTGTTCGAAGAAAGACAACCAAGGAAGCAGCAGCAGTTAGTTTACTACACTCAACGAAGGAACGACAACAACTACAATCGACGCGGCAAGCAAGATCAACACGACAACAGAGGACTCACCATCGTGCCGCCGTTCTGCCACAACTGCCAAACATCCGGACATTCCAAAGTCAACTGCACACGTCCTCGTGTCTATCGTCCAGTAGACCCACAAGTCGCCTCCACTCAAGAAAGCCCTCCAAGACGTTCTTCAACATCTGCACAAGGGACACCGAACATCATCAACTGCATGGTACACATCGACAACTGCGCACCCGGATCACCACCCACCTATGCACCAGACGAAGAAGAATTCCCGACGCCGCGCTCACAAGGACTTCAGGTCAACCCGACATACGCTGCGGTCGCCAACTCCGAACCCACCGGGCGAAACACCTGGTTCTTGGACAGCTGCTGCGGTCAACACATGTGTTCTTCCGGACGCTTCGTGCAACGAGAGCGACGCCTCAACCGCGACGTCATCATCACTGTCGCCAACAACGAGAACCTGAAAACAAACAGACAAGGAGTCGTTCAGTTACAGTCCATAGAAACAAATGTCATCCTGCAACTCAACAAGGTTCTAATCGTCGAAAACTTGGGATACAATCTGCTAAGCATCAGCCAGCTAATGGCAAAAGGAATTCACCTGGAGTGCGACTCAGACTCCAACGAGTTTCGCCTTTACCACGGGAAGGGCGGCCTCTTCATCGATCGTGCTCTCCTCAAGTCAGGCGTCTTCGTGTTGGACTTCGTCCCCGACCGCGGTACTGCCGACAGTGATGGCATCGTGTCGTTCGCCGCCTGGACACACCCGCCGGATCTTGACCCCGACTTCAACCCCGACGGATTCTGGTACTCCAACACCATACCTGCAGCAGAGAGAACACGAGCGTTAGTAGTCACTAGACAAGAAAGACAAGTACCAGCAAGCATCTCTTCCCAGACATCACCTACAGTAACAGCAGCAGGACCCAGCCAAGTACCATCGCCAGCGATCCGTGGACCGCCAACCGAAGCAGATCAACTTATACCCATCACACGCGAAGTCTGCCGAAGTCCCGCCACGGTCGTCGCGTTCTTCTCCAACGCCGACATCTATCACCGCTCGCCCGGCCATCGCGCTCCCGACGACATCTGGCACCAACGTCTCGGACATCCTGCAAACAATACAATACTGCAAACCATCCAAGCCGAAGTGTTAGAACAAAACGCTCTCCTTACAACGAGCGGCCAAGAACTTCGACGACCACGCGCACGGTGCTTTACGTGCCCCGAAGCCGATCTTCAACACCAGCCTTTTCCATCCCATCATAACCCAAGCGCACCTGCATACGCACCGATGGAAAAAGTCTACAGCGACATTTTAAACATGCCTCGAGAAGACACTGAAGCCGACTTCAACTATGTCATCACGTTTATCGACGCTTCACTCAACGAGCTCGGTGGGGACTACACCTCGGCATCGCCAAACATTTTCACGCATGGAAAATTCTCGACATACAAGACAAAAATACGGCGGCATCACGTGATGTTATCTTCTACGAGCGATTGACGCTGCAGCATTACCTGGACAACATTGCCAACACACACGACCCCACCGACAGCCTCGCGGGCCTTCGTTCCTTCGCCGACCGTGCTGCCGAGGCTGACGCCGCAGAAGAAGACATACCTGGAGCCTCGGAAGCTGCCGGACCACTCCCTTTCTGTTCCGTACCTGTTCCACTCGATGAAGACAATCCCCTC